TCGTGAAAAAATATTTTTTTTTGCAAAAAATAAAAATCAAAAACCAAAAACCCGGTTATTCGCATTTTTCACATAAATTTTGAGGTTATGTGAAAAAAGTATCGATACAAAAGTTGTAGATCTTTTTATTACCTACAACTTTGCCATTTAACTTTTTTTCATAGGACTTGCAGTTTTACCGGAAATCGAGATTAACCATTTTTTACCCTTAAAAACTCACCCCCTCCCCCTTCCCGACCTCAGATCGCCCGTAATTTATTTTTCCTTTCATTTTTGTTATATTCTCTACCTTTTCTAATGGGTTTCATCCTACTATATTTTTTTTTCACTTTTCACCATTTTTAAAATTATCGACCCTGGTCTATAAGCCATATGTACTTATACAAACATCGCGGAAGTTTTCAAAAATGTCTCTTATAAGTAAAACATCTGTTTTGAGATATAAATTGGAGTAATCTAACATGTTTTTACATTTAAAATATTTCCAAACGTTTTGTGCATGGTTGTAATCTTCATCTAACACATCAGTTTCAGTCAAACAACTGTAAAAATATTTTTTCTCTGGTAAAGATGTTGAATTTATAGAGTCAAATGATGTGATAAACTCATAAGGAAAGACTCCTTTCCGTAACAAATATTTGAATCCCTCTGAGTGCAGGTTTTGTTTTGATAGTTCGCGAAACTGATTTTCCTCGAGATTTTTTGCAAGTTGTTCTAGACTACTGTACATAATTTTAAAAGAATCTAAAAATCTTAAATGGATGACTTGACCATTTATATTTAACTTTTTAGTAAATGATAAATATTTTTCTTTATTCTGTGGAATAATCTCAATGTCTCCATCTTTAATATTCAAAGCATGAATTATAAAATGGGCGTCATAATTGCTCAAGTTGTGTAAGAATATTGGTATAAAATATGGAGGTTTAAATTTAGAACTGCACACAACGTAAGCGACTCCCTTGAAAATACCAGTATTCCAATCATAATCTAGATTAAATTCAGAATCTATATTTAACGAACAAATATAACAATTTTTCGTTTTTCTCAATCTGAGACTTTTGTAAATCACTTATCGGTTTGGGTTGTTTTCGAAAACTTAATCTATTTTGGATTTTGCAAACATCTTCGTATATACTATTCATAAAATGGTTCGAACAATTAAAGCCACTATAAGATTTGTATGATGATAAGTTGTCATCATATGAACATTTAGTATAATAACCGTAGCTGTAAATCTCATGTTCTTGTATATTAGTGGTAGAGGATAGAGTTGGATTTGGATGACATGAAGAAATTGGTTTTAAAAATGCTTCAGTATCAGCATAAATTACAAACGGTATTCTTAACTGTCTTAGATAATTATCAAAACGAATTTTATCAGATGACTCTTTATGACCAAACCAGCTTGTTTTAGTTTTTGTTGAACTGGGAATAGTAGTGCGGATGTGATTACAATCATTTTGTTGGTGTTGTTTTAATCTTTCGTTTGAAGTGAAATATACAAGACAACCATCACATAAAAATATTTGGTGATGATCGCTAGATAATTGTCGACTAATCAACTGTGACATATTTTTTATATAACAATAGTGTCCGTTCGTACCGTTTGTAATATACAAAAGGTTAATATGTTTTTCCTTCCTGTTTTTGGTAAATAGAGTGGACCTACTATATTGTTACGTTTAAATTCTTCTGAATACTCTAAACCAAAAACGTTAATACTAATGTTGTTATTACTCTCAACTTTGACAATATCTTTAAGCTTAACTGGGAATCTTATATTTTTAAAATTGAGTTTATTTTGATTTCTTATATAAGAAGATGTACGATCAACATGACTTTCAACAGGATATAAAGCTGAAAGTAACGCCTATTTAAGACATTCATGATCGTTATTTTTTACATTAATTATAGCTTTCTTGGTTTTAATATCTAATGGTAAATCTATATTTTCTGAGTTTTTGAAAAAATACTTTTTACAATCTTTGGTGTTTGCAATATCCTTAGTAATAGAGTAAATGAGCTCCTTGTTTTGATTGTAATTTTTATCGGAATCCTTTGAATAATATTTTATTCGTACATCTGCATGTTTCCAATGTTCACTGTTGGGAATCTTCGCTAACTTCCTTAAGTCATACACTTCTATTTTTATGAGATGATTCGATCCTGCAGCATCGTCCATGTTGGTTGATATGTATGCTGTACCACCTCATTTTTGCGCTCGCCCCACAGTTGACGATGTCTTTTTCTGTGTTTTCTTTGGCTTAGCTTCATCGAAAAATTCATTTATAGACGCATTGCTTGCAGTGCGTTTCAGAGTTTTATTTTTCAAAATATATGTCTCACAAGATCCTTCACTCTCAGAGAGTGGAAAATAATAATGTTTGAAAGTATTTGGTTCGTCATAACTATTTAAATTCTGTAAGCAAAAATAACTAATATTATCACTCAGTACTAATACATCAAAATTAAACATTATGATGGAAACAAATTTAAGTATAGTAGATCACTTATGCTTACCGCCATTTTCCCAACACAGCAGGTCGATGATAAAAATATAAGAGGGTGTTGTTGCACTTCGACAATAGAGTCTTTGTAACTGATTATTTGGGTATTGTAGTCAATATATACTCCAAATTTACTGATTTCTACACAATTATTGTTAATGATCTAGTACCCGTTGATCAAGAGTGACTTGTTTTAATTACTAAGAAATCTTTATTTGAGTATTCAGACAATCAAACTTGTTTAATTAAAGTAATTAAGAGTATCATCATAAATATCATTAGTGCCAAGGCCGGCTAGCGAATAAGTGATTAGAAGCCATAATTAGTGCGATCCTTACGAATTAGGAGGTCATTAACAAATGAACTGGAACGAAATAAGAGAAATATCTATCTCGGGAACGGTAAGAGATACGAACCTGGGACAATCGCTCCAAATGGGGGTGCATTTTTTTTTAGGTTTCGACAACCCCATTGTACGAAATTCTGGACCGAAGCAGACCACGCGGTGGCCCCCGGTGGTCCAGAATCGGTGAATACCCACTACTACAGTCATATTTGACGTGGCAGATTTTACCGCCTCCCTGTGACATAATGTTGACGTTACATTATTTGCATAGAGCAGCACGGATTGGAGTAGCCATAGCGTCGTAATACTATTCAAATCAATCAGTATTTTTTGTGGGGGAAATATGCACACAAACGCAGTTTAACGTACACGCATGTAAAACAAAACTGTTACTACGACACTCACACATAAACAATTACACAATATATCTTCAAATCCTGCATACACATATCGTTTGTATGCCCACCCGCAGAGGGGAAGCTGCGTATGCATACTCCCGTCCTGACCGCGTTGGCCGTGCTGCTCTATGTTTATTTGGAGTTTTGCTTATGGAATAAAGATTTCCTCAATAGTTTAACAATTTTTCTTTACTGAAGTCAAAAGAATTTTTGTTATTTTTATGATTTTAAACGTGAATTTCGAAAATGTTCCAATTTTATCTATAAGCATGTGCTATTGCATTGAAAACAAAGTTCAAAATATTAAGATTCCTTTTTATTAGAAAGTCCTAAATGAAAACGCATTCCATATAAAAGAAAACTTGTTTGTTTTAAGAAGGGTCTTTGATTTCTCGATCTATTTTCGTTCTTGAAAGAAAAGAATCTCGAGACCGAATTCTCGAGTCTCTTCGAGTCACGAGACTTTCAAAGAACATAAGATACATAATTTGCTCAAAATAAGTAAAAAAATATAATAAATAATGAAAAAAATATAAATAATCCCGAAAGAAACTTATTTTTATTGCCTCCAACTGCACTTACTTAAAAAATGAAACACGAAAATCTTAAACACTAAAAATCTCTAAAAACCATAAACTTTTGTATTAAGCTATTGCTCTATTAATATAATATTGGCATTTATTAGATTTAACTTTGAAATAATTAAAATCAAATATAAAATGAACATTACAGTAATAACCAATGGAAACAAATAACAAGGGTGGTACCAAAACAACCCCAAGAGTTTATAATGTATTTAATATTTTGTTACATGTAGGCAAAATTTTTTAGAAATATCAAGTTACACTTTCTGAAGAAAGCTTTACTTATTTCTAATAGGTAATTTGTAAATAATTACTAAGTAAGTAACTACTTCTTATGGTTCTACTAATTTGTAAGGTGTTTTTCAACCAAACATCTAGCTCTCAGAGCACAAAAACCTATATAGCAAATACTTTGAATTAATTTCTCTCGAGAACTCTCGAGGCACGGATTTATTTCTCGTCTCGAACCAAGGCGAATTTCTCGAGTTCGAGAACTCTGAGACTGACTGAAACTGAGAAGACTCGAGAAACACATTTTTTTTAATTATTTTTACCATACTATACATTCTTGATGTATAAATTGGAAAAAAGTGTGCTTAATTAGACCTTACAGTTGCACACAGTACGTCCTATTTGTTGTAGTTATAAAATACAGCACCCCATTAATTGCTCACAATTATAATTTATTCAGTAATCGCATTGTGTTCTCTTTTTAATTGTGGTCAATTGGCTTTCATAACTGAGAAGAGGCCATACCATCAAATCTTAATGCAACTCAATGCCCAGTGTTAAAATGAGATACAACTACATGCACTGTAGAGTGTTGTCCCGTTTCGAGCGCTGTGTTTGAATCGCGTTTGAAATTTATAGTAAGTCCCCAGTTTGCACATGTACATACTGGAAATTTCCATTAACAAAAGACTTGGTATTGTGATTGATGTGGGTGATAGCTTCTTTAATTTTATTTCTCTTTACTAATTGTCGTTCATCATTATTATTTCTCTAATTGTTTCATTTGATCAATTATCTGTGAATTAGAGAAATTACATTACTTATTTATAACCATAACTCGCTAAATTGAATGCTGTGCATGTGTGCGTTGTGCACGTGCCAAGTTTGGGCGGAATCGCGTTCGCAAGCTTTCCTTCAGTTTGTGTTCGGACGCGCGAAGAGGCGAGACGCCGCGCCCCTAAAAACATTGAAATACGTGCAACATGACAGCGATCACAATGGGCGACAATGTGAACAATAATGACGCTTCCAATTATGAAGAGGCCTTGGAAAAAACTGGTAGGATAACAAAAAGTTCAGCCAATGCATTTTTGCATGCAACTCACTTTTCACCGTGGAATTCGCGGTGGAATTTTAAATTCAAATTTATATTGTGATTTCAAAGCACGCGGGGATTCCGCGGAGAAAAAAGTGTTTGTTCTTACAAGTAAATAAACGGTAAGTAAGTAAATAGAAGAAAAGCACGGCTGATAGTTTTATGAGGAAATTAGTTTTCATGAAAAATACACTTTTGAATGGTTCTGAAATGCGTATATTTCAATTAACAGAAAGTAAAATGTAATGAAAGTGAATGTATAAAATAAAATTACAATATTTATAATAAACGCTTTCTATTAAGTTTTACGTGTACGAAATTATTTTATTCTTTTATTGAATGAGTGTAAATTCACACTGTCATTGTGCGCGGAAGTAAGAAACAATTATAATTTTAATTACTTTGTTCCATTGAGACATTGTTGATGTGTGCTCTGATATCGTCGCAATAGTGATTTTCATAATGTACAATCTATGTTTATTCAGTTGAATATCGCGTTGAATATCATCATTTTTGAACATTTTAAGAAGGTGGTGCTTTTTGGGGTTCCGTAATATCCGTTCTTTTTTCTTTCTCTAATAAGATCAATTGTTGTGAGTCTGTCCGTTTAACGATGCCGATGTTGAGCTTGTACAGGAAATACATGGGAGAACTCCATGATGCATTAGATGTGTTTTGCAACTTATCAAAAGCTTTTGATTGCGTGTGTCATGAAACATTGATCAGGAAACTTCACCACTATGGATTTCGAGATACCACTCTGGATCTATCTTGTATCATATTTGAGTGATGAGATGAGGTTCAAACGTTTGACATTAATGGAGAAAAATCTCCTGGTTCGTCGGTTAAGTTGGGAGTTCCGCAGGGTTTAATCCTTGGTCCTTTCTTATTTTTAATATATATCATGACTTGCCTATTTTGTAAAAGATAACCACGAAATAGTATTGTTAGCAGATGACACTTTACTTTAGTTCAAAATGAACAACGTGAACAATTCTATTTCTAAGGTAGTCCACTGGTTCTATGTTAATAATTTACTGCTTAATGAAGGGAAAAATAAGTGTTTGAAATTTGTATTACCTAATGTCAAACAGGTAAAAACCAATATAAATATAAAGGATCGAAATATGAGCCTTGTAGATTCAACAGTGTTCTTAGGAATCACACTAGATTCTAAGCTGAAATGGGGCCCACATATTGATAAGTGGCTAAAAATACGTGTTTTCAATACAGCATAGTATTGAAAACACGTCAGTTCATGGATATAGGAACTGCCAGATTAGTCTTTAATGTATAATTTTACTGTGGGGTTAATGCCGTCGTCATTTGACAAAGTGTATTTGTGTTGCAGAAGAGCTATAGTCGATAAAATTTTAATCTTAAAGTTAAGTATCCTTAAGAAATAAGATCAAAGAAATAGGCATAATGTCGGTTGCATCACAATACACGTAGAAATACTTAGTATTTGTTAAAAAAAAATATTAAATCTAGTGAAATAAATACACTTAATACTAGAAGTAAAAATAATTTATCTTCATGTTCGATTTTACAATAAAGTCCCCAAGTAATATTCAAGAGTTAAGCCTGACTTAATTTAAATCGACCATTAAAAAACCACATTTTAAGAAAGCTTATTATAAAGTGTCTGATTATATTACAGTCAAAACGGGAAACGGAAACGGGTCGTTACGTTTCCTAAAATATGGCTGGTTCATGCGTCATGCTCGTGAACGGGTGTTGCCAGCAGCAATGAGTCTGCCATAACTACTTTGCTATGAGGGATATTAATGTCCAGTTACATCTAATATAACATTATTTGTATTAATACTGTATGACACAACAATCAAAACGCAGGTGAACAATTAATGTATATCTCACTTCATGAATCATTTCTGAAATCATTTTTCAACTTAACGATTCTGTAAATAATAATAGACGAAGAAAAAAACAGTCCTTGCTGAGTTTCTTGCCGGTTCTTCTTAGTACTTACAAGGTCTCCCGCCGTAGATTTGCGAACCGATGGCGTAGCTTCTAGACATTCATCAATGCTTGTAACAGCCTAAACTGAATAAATGATTTTGATAATGACTACTATTAACAGCCAAAGCCCTGAATCTCGGAAACTCATGGTGGTATCGAGTTCAAATTTAAAACATAAGTAGGTGTCAGATCTACGATCCCTTGCAGCTTTGCAAAAATCAAACCTCTAAGGTAGATAATGTAAAAATATTATCGGTACGGCTGTTTATCTGTGTATTATTTATTTATTTATTATTTTAAACTTTATTGACCAAAATACAATAGAATGGTACAAAAGGCGGACTTAATGCTAATAGCATTCTCTCCCAGTCAACCTTTGGGAAAAAACAAAACGCGAACTTTGGTATAAAGCTAAATATATACATAAATATCGAAATAATATAAAAAATATATACGAATAAAACTAGTTTTTACGGATTAATGCACGAAACTTTATTTATTTGTTGACGTTTCGCAGCCTTTTCAGAATAGAATTTTATTCTGACGATGCAGACCTGAAAAGGCTGCGAAACGTCAATAAATAAATAAAGTTTCGTGCATTAACCCGTAAAAACTAGTTTTATTTAATGAGTGATGTGCGTGAAAACCTAAGAAACAAATAAATATATACGAATTAATATACACATTATGATGATTAATAAAGTGACTCTTTATCTTAAATTTTGAAGCAGATGAGTGCGAATATTCCTTTTAAATATAAGTTTATTTGGAGATCTTCTGATGGAGTCGGGTGGGTTATTACACAGCCGTATGGCTTGAAGAGTAAAGGAGTTGGACATATAGCCTGAATGAGAACGAGGGATAAAGAGAGCTAATGAATCGCAAGAGCGGAGAGTACGTTCGTGTGTATCTGTCAAGACTCTATCTCCTGGGTTCCGAACCTGTGGGTAATTACCCCTCCGGGGGTAAATCAGCCATACTTCGGGGGTAAGAAGGAACCTAATTATTTGGTCAAATCTAAATAATACTACTAAATAGAGCATGCGCTCCTTTTAGCTAGTGAGCCCGCGGGGTGCTGAGTGTGGGAAGCGGGGCGAGATTCTCTCCTGATGATGACATTATTAGATACGAAGATGTAGCGGCCAAATTTAACATTTTTAATTATATTATTTGATGAAAATTATTAAATTTAAATTATGTAATGTATTAAATTAAATAAATGATTAGGTGTATTTTTTTTTTTTTAGTGACATGTGCCTATTTCTATAATAATTGATTATGTATTGTTATTATGATTATGAGTTATGTTGCTCGAAATAAATGAATTTTATTTTATTTTTATTTTATTTAAATTGGAATTTCTTGTACTGATGTTAACATTTTTAAGTCGGTGTAAAATCTGTTTCGCTAATAGGTTACAGGGGTAGCTGTATTGGAAAGGTTAGGAAACACTGCTCTATCTCGTTTTGGTGACGTTGTGTATCTGTTGGTAAAAAATATACCATAGGCTCCACCGGGTAGGAGATTGTGATGTTGTACCCCGATAAGATCACTTTCTTGCCAGTCTATCGGTTTGTCTGTCAACTATTTTTTCTCAAAACCACGTCCTTTATATATAAATTTATAAAAGCTGCAGCACATTACCCTATCATACGCCACGATGAAATCAGAAATCAATATATCTTTATTCAAATTGGATGTATAATACAATCGTCCAAAAATTGTTTACCTCTTGTTATTGGACATATTTTTTAGTTCCGGAGAAAAATGAGTGAAAAAAACTCCACAACATTAAAAGTATAATGCAACAACATTTACAAATCATTATGTTGTTACAGCGTCAATACAAGCATGATTTATTTAATATAGAAAATTTTAAATTTCTGTTGGAATTATGGGAACAGTTCAAACCCAAATGGGAACAAAAATTTGTCTGTAATATAATCAGACACTTTTTAATAAGCTTTTTTGTGCGATGTTAAGTGAAGCTGGCCAACTGTGAGTTAGCCACACAGACATCATACGTACCATTTGATAGTACAAGGTTAATAACAATTGAGAGACAGTGATTCTAACTGTCGAAAAAACGACGAAAAGTCGTACGTTTTTAAACGGTCCCACTTTATTTTTAACTTCGGCATTTATAAAAATATTCAATGACATCTTATTATTTTTTGAAGCATTTAACTCCTAGATGTTTAAATCTAAAGAAAAGGTTTACTAGAAAAAAATCCACGCGGACCAGGCAGCGGACGGAACTCGAACCCGCGCCCTTCGCAATCCGGGCGGTTCGAGTTCCGTCCGCTGCCTGGTCCGCGTGGATTTTTTTCTAGTAAACCTTTTCTTTAGATTTAAACATCTAGCAGTTAAATGCTTAAAAAAATAATAAGATGTGGATTTTTTTTCTAGTTAAACTTTTCTTTATATTCAATGTCGTTTATTCAGTATAGGCAATATAAATAAAGCAAAATAAGGCAAAATATTGTTACAAGCATTTGTGAATGTCGAAAAGCTACGCCTTTGGCTCGCAAATCTACGTCGGGAGATCTTGTACTGAGAGAAACCGGCAAGAAACTCAACAAGGGCCGTTTTTTTTCTACCTGTATTATAAACAGAGTCACCAAATTAAAAAATGACTTCAGTATGACATAATTCATGAAGTCTCTTCCATTACACATATAAATAATATAAAAATGATGACTAAACAATTTATAAAATACTGATTTGACACATAGTTTAAATAGAAAATAAAGGAATTATAAGTGCACAGCATACTCTGTGTATGTTGCAAGTTTCTAATTATTATGGTTCACGATATACCAGTTGACAGACAGACAGACAGACGGACGGTTGCCACCCGTACTTTATTATAAAGTATTGTACGTTATTTTGGGTGATTGTACTCTATGCTTTATGACAACAATAAAGTACGCGAAAATACTTTATTTAATGTGATTTGATTACTCGGGAATTAACTTTACATAAATTATACAAAAAGAGGTTGAAAGAAGATTTTTTGCGTAAAACGGACAGACAGTATGAATACGTCGCCCTTAGCTAATTACTGCAACATTTTTGTGGCTCTATGGCTTTGTAATATGACCTTTTCTATTGCGGAAAAGAACTACAGATTTTTTGTAGCCCTAAATTGTTTATTGAATGTTGCTAGTAGCAATGTAAAATATATGTTTAAGCTTACTGATAAAGAGGAATTTTGGACACATGTACTTTTTTTCTACCTTTAATATCCAATGTACTTTAATTGGACAAGAAAAGGTGGCAATCCTACTAATAATAGATAAGAGTTTTGTAGGTTATATGTTATTTTTAATTGAATCGAAAGTCGAATTGCGTTTTTTTACATTTTTTTTTGGTTTATGTTTAAATAAGATATTTAATGCATGTATTTACCTGTTAATTTTAATATTTTGCACTCCTATTTCTTTTTTGTTATATTCATGTTATATGTATAAATGATTTCGGCTAAAGGACAAAGTATCCACGGCCAGAATTAATTAAAAAAAATAGATAAGAGTTCTGTTGTTGCTACCTGGGTAAGGGAATATTGGAAGGATAGTCGAAAGTGCATTATTTTTATTTCAATATAACTTTTATCCGAAGATGTAGTGCTTAGCGCTTTCATTTTTTTTTGAGTGTATGCTGTTGGTCACAGATGACCTTTACAGCGTCACCGGGTTTGGGGACGGCGAGATCCTAAGGAGCCTCAAGCCGAGAATTGGCGAGTGCCTCTAGAGGTATTCCAGGTGGGTGGCATCTCCCCACGGGGGGAGTCTCCTGGTCTCGAACCTGAGGGGTTGGCTCATCTAGAGGGCGTCTCTGAGACTCGGACCTCGGCTCTAGTTAGCCGTTGTCGTGCGGGGCGGGGAACCAAAGCGCTTTCAATATGTGAACATAAAAATTAAGCGATTTTCGCAAATAATGTCAACATTGCATATGCCTTTATTCGGACTCATCGATGACGTATTTTAATAAAACAGTTGTTAATCAAGCCCCATTGTTTGAAATAAATACAGAAAAACCAAAAGAACTGTTGCATGTGACCTACGTATTTACAAAGTGTCTTTTATTTTGGATTCGCAAACAATATTTTTATACACAATTCCATAACTAAAGAAGCCAAGAACTTTATGAAGTTTGTTAAAGAACAAAAATCGACGCAAAATTGAACAAAAATTAGTGCTGTTCTGTAAAATTTCAGGCGCGGATCCTATGTGGGTCCTAGTGGATTTTTATCTGAACCTCGCGGATCCACATCAGTACCCTTAGTACGAGTTTGAGCTCACGAAAACTATCATAGTTTTCGTAATTGTAAATTATGCTTCCATGTCCATTTTAGTGAAAAGTTACCAAATATTCTTAAAATTTAACAAGACGCAAATGATTTAATGATAGAATTTAAACACTGTTTATTTGTATTGAAACGGAAACAATAAAATCAGTACCCTTAGTACGAGTGCGAGCTCACGAAAACTATCATAGTTTTCGTAACTGTAAACTCGTACTAAGGGTACAGATCCGTGCGTGAAAATTTTACAGATTAGCAGCATGTTCAAAGGATGACGATGTTATGATAAACATTTTTTTATAACTGTAAGTACCTAATCACCAATATAGGTAAGAATAAAATACGAAATCCCGCCAAGAACATTTTCATTTAAAATGTTATAGACCAATATAACCGCCCTTCCGTCCGTCAAAATGTTATCAGAACTTATGTAGAGTCAAGCTTATAACTCTACCGCCCTAACTCTGTAAGGTCTAACTGCACAAACACTACATCATAGTTAAAATAATTATGTGACTGCTTTTTCGTACTTAACTGCTAGATGTTTAAATGTAAAGAAAAAATTACTAGAAAAAAATCTACGCGGTCCAGTAAGCAGTCGGGTATCGAACCCGCACCCTCCTCTATCCAGGCGGATGGACTGACTAATTATGATAGCACCAGCTTAATGGCCGTGTCAAATTTCTTCTAGTATTTCTTAGGGTGCAAGGCAGCGCCATCTCTTCGCATTGTAGGTAAACCACAATGTCTAAATGAAATATGTTTACAAGTATTAAACATTTAAAAGAAGAAATAACAATTGTCGGTGGTCAGTGCATCCGCCCGGATAGTGAAAGGTGCGGGTTCGAGTCCCGTCTGCTTCATGGACCGCGTGGATATTTTTCTAGTAAAATTTTCTTTAGATTTAAACATCTAGCAATTAAATGCTTGAAAAAACTAATATTATAATTGTGATTTTTTTTTTAATTTTTTTTTATTTGGTTTGCAAAACCGAATTGTGAAAATGACAAAATAATTACATACAGTGTATCTTAACAGTATCACAAATCTTATAAATGCAAACACAGCATGCACTTTTATAAATATCTTAGAATCCTTTTTAAATTTTATGTACACAATACCACTTACATTTACAACAATGATCTTTATGTATATTTATTATATTTATATAATAAACATACATATTATTATATTTGTATGTTTGTTACTCTATCACGCAAAAATTACTGAACGAATTAATACTTTTTTATCCCGGAAAAGTGTTAGGTTCAGTGTGTGATCGTTAAAAACTAAAGCGGACGAAGTCGGGGGCGGGCGCTAGTGTATGATAAACAATGTTCTATTACGACCTCCGTGGCCGAGTGGTCTATACGTCGCGTTGCAAGGTGTCGCCTACTCGAGAGGTCCCGGGTTCGAATCCCGTTGGGGACAGATGTTTGTGTGATCAATACGAGCATTTGTACTCCAGTCATACTTAATATGCTGGATGCTTAATATGCATTTCAATATGAATATATATGTATTCTATCCGTTACCTTTGTATCGCATAACACAAGTCTACAGTGCTTACTTTGGGGCTAGGCTAATTGGTGTGAGTCTTGGAAATATTTATTGGAACGGAGTTCCTTACGGCAGGCTTGGAGGGGATAGGGATTTTGCTGCGCGACCGAACTGAAAAAAATGTGATAGTAAAACCGTAAGAAAACATCCCTGGAAAAAAGTGCGTGGAATAAAACCGTTAAATGAGACGTGCGCAGGCGCGACAGTCGCATACACAAGCGAGTTTGCAATTTGTGTCGATTCTACATTAGCCGAAGGAACTTCGTTTCTACCTGGTGTCCCACGACACCACATCATTTTTTTTATTTATTGAAGTTATACTTCTTTAGGCGCGTTATGAAAAAATGATGAGAGTGAAATTTTAAGATGCGCGCGCATCACTGTGACCAACTTCATGCTGTTACTTTTGTGTTTACCGCACATTAAGAAAATCTACCAACAAAATAGAAATAGAATCTCTATTTAGTGGGTGCTAACGACTGCATTGTGAAGGCCTATCAAAAATATTTATTAATCTGGAACAACGGAACCAAAGCGCGATTCAGGAGACTACAGCGCCATCTCTTGACCATTGGTGTAGTAAAACCAAAAACCACATCTTTATTTTTTGTAATAAAGTAACAGTTATAGGTATTCATATTTATAATATTTATCCACATGTTTCTAGTTTGTATATTCGGAATACGAGTTTGAGTTTCATACAAGAGCAAATCACATATGTTCTAATAAATTATATTTAGTAGCGATTTTAATTGAATATTTTGATTATTTATTTATTTAATCAAATTAAAACTGAACTTTATTGACTGTGTCCTTTTCCAGACTTTTTATTAATTTATTGTAATTAATTATTTGCATGAAATTAAAAACTAATTTTAAACGATGCCAAAGAAGGATAACTTCTCACGCGCCTACATAAGTACACGCACCCATTTTTTTTATTGTTTAAAGGTAACGGTCCCTACAACATGCTGTTGGCAAGCACCTGTTCCCTGATCCTTCTGGCCCTAGGCATGGACTTGTTCGGCTTCAGCCTGGTGGTGACCGCCGCCTGCGATCTCCAGCTCACCGTCTCGCAGATGGCAATACTCACCTCACTGCCTTTCATAGGTACAGTAAATAGAGAAACTTTATAGCGATTGTGAAGTTAACGGCAAGCGCATCTTTCGCAGATGTCAGTTCAGTATCCTACCGCGAGCGCGTACAACGTACATCCCTCCTCTCTTTTTGTCTGGGAAAAGCAATGCCTTACACATCCTTCAACCACTGGGGGAGCGAGAAGAAGGTATGTGGGACTCTTCTCTGCTCACTTCAGCCAACCCTTGGACCGGATGAAATGAGCAAGGCCCTACCTAATTCCCTAAGCAGGGCTACTTAAAACCAGACAATATCCGTGTCACCCGGTCCGCATTGCTAGGACGACCGCGGTCCCCCCAATGCGGGTCGGGAGCTTAGATTAAAACAAAAAGGGTAGATACGGTACGCTCATACTTGCATCAAACAAAAACTGATCCCACGGCATTACCGACCCGAGCGAAACAGCACGTTAAGTTTCAATGGCAGTGCGAAAGAGATGGCGAGATCCGCGTCACTGCACTACCGACCAATCACGCAACCAGGGAGTCTACTCTCTTTCTCCGAAACGAACTTTCGGTAACGAAGTTCAAACGAAATTTAATTTCGTCAACTTAAAGTTATACTTGATTTAAATAATAAACTATCAAATTCAATTTTTCATTGAGTAGGCATAGAGAATATAAACCTCGATCTATTTTCGTACGAACGAATATTAATATAATTAGAATAAATGAAAAAATATATTTTATAGTACTTACGAATGAAAAGTGATGCCGTGGGTTTTATTTTTAGTTCTTGAGCAATTTGAGCACTTTTTAAAAACACACTTAGGCATTGTTTTATCACATAAACACAAAATATTAGCAATATTTCTTTTTGGCGTTCACATGTACGTCATTTGCATGTCAAGTTGTGACTAAAGCGATTAGGGTCGTGGACCACAATTCATGCGGATCACTTTTGTGAGGCTAGTGCCGTATCTACCCTTTTTGTTTTAATCTAAGGTCGGGAGTGCAGGTGGTGGTGCGGCACCGTTATCCACTGTCCGCGCAGCCTAATTCCTCCTCCTAAATTTGTTATCTGCGCCGTGACTTGCGCTTACTTCACAGCCCGCGCTCTAGCTTTCTTTGATATCTGGAAAAGGTATTACACCTCCCTGAATTACAGGGAGTAGCGCGTACAGTGCTTAGCAAGTTCTGTCCGCAATTGTTGAAGTTATAAAACTTCTCCAATATTAAGTCAAAGGAGTGAAGGCACTTTGAGCCGTTGGGCCCGGCGGCTGTATCTGCAGTTGTTAGGTTGCTGTACCCGAATGAATGTAAGAATTGGCGATGAAATAATTCAACAGATTTTTCAAACTTGGCAAAATGAAGAGGAACTGGATGGCAACCTGCATCGTGAAAGTTTAGCAATCGTCGTAATCCTCAATCCAATGATTTTTTTTTCTTTATTGGATCACCAACAGTTACTACATCAATACATCTTATTTAATACAATTTTACATTCAATGATATAATGTGTAACCACTTATAGGCGAACTCAGCATGCATTACATTAAGCTTAAGCAGATATTATTTAATTAAAATGAAGTGTGTATGTGTGTGTGTGTGTGTGTGTGTGTGTGTGTGTGTGTGTGTGTGTGTGTGTTTCTTTAAATCTGTTTCAAAATATTTTAAATATCTATTTTATGATCGACCATTGCTTCAAAATAAGTTTTCAATCATCCAATGATGATTGAAAACTTATTTTCACGAACTCCTCCGTGGTTCGTAAGTTACGTTAAGTCATTGGTCCCGGCTGCATCTGCAGTCGTTAGAACCCACTAATCCACACCGGGCCCCGGTGGGTCACATCCCATTCTCCTTACTCCATCCGTAGGAAAAACCTGTGCCCCTGCAGTGGGGATATTAATAGGCTGATGATAATGAACAGCATGGGCTTACAGACGAATGTTGAAAGTTAGTTGGACTCAAATGGTAACAAATGATGAAATCCTGCGACGTGTTGGCAAGAAACGCGAACTTTGGGATACCATCAGAGCGAGGAAGGTTGCGTATCTAGGGCACGTGATGAGACACGAAAGGTACGCCCTTTTACAATTAATAATGATGGGCAAAGTTGCTGGAAAACGAGGCGTCGGTCGCAGGAAGAAGTCTTGGTTGAGGAACCTACGAGAATGGAGTGGAATCTCGAGCGCCGCTGAATTATTCCATCTCGCTAAGGATAAGGAGACGTATGCTAAGCTGACTGCCAACCTTCGCTGTTCGAAGAGGCACTAGAAGAAGAAGAAGAAGATCTAAAGAAAAGTTTTACTAGAAAAAATCCACGCGGACCAGGCAACGACGGGACTCGAACCTGCACCCTTCGGAATCCGGGCGAATGCACTGACCAATTATGCTACCACGGCCCTGAAGGCCGCGTCAAAATTTTCCTAGCCTTAAGCTGCAAGGCAGCGCCATCTCTTCGCATTGTAGGTAAATAATTGGTTCGCCCGGATTGCGAAGGGTGCGGGTTCAAGTCCCGTCCGTTGCCTGGTCCGCGTGGAATTTTTTCTAGTAAAACTTTTCTTTAGATTTAAACAACTAGCAGTTAATGCTTAAAAAAACATAAAGATAATGAATGTTTATTTTCATCAATGGTATTATTACCTCCAGGAATCCTGCTGGTGTCGTACATATGGGGCTACATCTCAGACACGCGGGGGCGGAGGTTCTCCCTGGTGCTGTGCATGCAGGTCAGCTTCGTGCTGTCCACGCTGTGCAGCATCTGCCCCACCTGGCACATCCTTGGGCTGGTCAAGTTCATCTCTGTATGTTTGTGAGTAATTCAGTCTATACATAACTAACACACTGGACAGCAAATTAATCGAGTGAGTTGCTACCTCGGAATTCTGATTTGATTTTCACAGAAAATATAAAAATTAAAGTAAGCAAAAGTTATACCTGCAAAAAGTGCGTCTCATGATTATTAAAATAAACAGTAATTTATTGAGATCTGTATATTTTTAAGTTTTTACTAAGATTTTTAAAAAGAAGAGTTCTTTTCCAATCGTTGTTGAAAAACAAAAAAGACAAAAACTAAAAAAATATTTGTTTCTTAGTTTTTTACGCACATCACTTATTAAATAAAACAAGTTTCAACGGGTTAGTTACGCTGATTTTATTTGTTTATTGACGTTTCCCATCCTTTGCGGGTAGTAAGTTAGGTTAGGTTAAGTTAGGTTAGGTTCTTACGTCGTCACTTACTGTGTATCTAAAGAAAATCCTATTAAATTGAGTCGTATAGTATCAAAGGCGGCACAGTAGGGCGAACCAAATATTTGGCAAATCAAAAAAAACTGTTTAGTCTCGTCTTTAAGGGAGGATTTTTATAATTGACATTCATCATAACTACAAATCGTAGTTTTCAATATTTTATCCTCCCTTAAAGACGAAACAGTTTTTTTTGATTTGCCAAATATTTGGTTCGCCCTACTTTGCCGCCTTTGATACTATACGACTCAATTCAGAGTTTTCCACGTGGTCCAAATATCATTCGAACCCGATTGTTCTGTAATCTATACTTATAATAAATCTGTAGAGATGTCAATTCTGTACATGAAATATATTTTTAAAATAACTATCAGGGGGTGATTAGTGGTCGATACTGATGCCAAAAATGCAATCAGTAAAATTTTTGTCTGTCTGTGTGTATGTTCCTTATAGAAACAAAAACTACTCAACGGATTTTAACGAAACTTGGTACAATTATTCTTCATACTCCTGGGCAGGTTATAGTATACTTTTCATCACGCTACAATCAATAGCAGCAGAGTAGTGAAGGGAAATGTTGGGAAAACGGGAGAAGATACTCCATTTTTTAAGCTTCCGTCGCGGGTGCAGCCTTAATGGTTAAAGTTACATAGAAATCATGTATGACGGAAATATTCTACATAAAATTGTCTAAAAAATATCCCGCAACAGCATATGTCTGTCTATCTTTTATGGTTGACTCACAATAACACGTGTAATTATATAAATAAAGTCATTCTTTATAGCACAAGCCCGAGAACAAAAACTATTGTTTACACTACAGCTCTACACCGAAGCGAAGCGAGGGCGGGCCACTAGTAATTTATAAATCTAGTGGTTAAATGATAAAAAAGGAAAAACATGTAAAGGTTTCATTAAGCAACAGCACAGTGATGCCGTATGTAGGTATGATAATGCCTTTATAAGAAGTATAAAAGAAAGTTACATAAAAATTGTAAGGGTTATAGCTGCCTTGGTTGAATCACAGAACAAATAAGTTTGTACAACACAAACATCATTATAATAAGTTACAAGCGGCCGACTGTCTGTCGTCGAGAAGGGTTTATTCAGCCAGGAGTGTTTGTATTAGCCATACCGACGTCCTAGGTCCGTGTAAGCAATAAGTATGAATAGAAGATCTGAACACTCGGAATAGAAATTCGATGGGTCGCTATCAGGGGCTGCTTAGGCAGTTGTGGGAAAAGAGCCTTATATGTCTACTCTGATCATCATCATCATCTCAGCCGTACGACGCCCACTGCTGAACATAGGCCTTCCCCAAGGATCTTCATCAGATCCTCCGGTGCGCAGTCGCCGTTCGAGAACCTTTCCGCCCCAACGGCCATCTCTGCCGTCCTCAAGCTAAAACGCCGCTAAATGACAAAACCAACTTTTCAGATATGGCCAAAAACGGCGTGTAAACTTTAAATTATTGCTATTTTTTAACCATTCATCACATGACGGAATTTTAGACTTAAAATATAAAAGTTACAAATAATTGTTAAAAACAGATCGATAGAGAATTAAAAACTGTATAAGTTGCAATTTAAGACTGAAAAATCGACCATATGTCACTTAGCCGCACTTTAGTTTGAGGACGGCAGATCTGTTCCCCTCGCAATGTATCCCGCCCACTGCCACTTCAGCTGAGCAATCCTTCGAGCGATGTCGGTTACTTTAGTTCTCCTACGGATTTCCTCTTTTCTGATTCTATCACGCAGGAAAATACCAAGCACCGTTCTTGCCATTGCCCGTTGTGCGTTCCTAGAGCCTTGAGCCTTCTTGGTGAGGCGTCTAAATAGACAACTACTGGCGCCTGGTTATTATATTATTAAGCAATATCCAAGAGTTAACCATAAATAAATTTAAAGATAGTATAAAAAAAGCACTTATTAAAAAAGCTTATTACAAAGTGTCTGATTATTTTACTGACAAAAATGCTTGGGTTTGAACTGTTCCAATCATTCCAACAGGTTTTCTATATTAAATAAATCATGATTGTATTGACGTTGTAACAGCATAATGATTTGTAAATGTTGTTAAATTGCTTTTAATGTTGTGGAGTTTTTTTCGCTCGTTTTTCTCCGCAGCTAAAAAAATATGTCCAATAACGAGTGGTAGGGAAAAAATGTTTGGATGATTCAAAAGTGTTGTACAATACATCCAATTTGAATAAAGATAGGGGAAACCACCCAATCATTGGCACTGGTCATATTATTGGCACTTTTGAGTTTAATTCGAAAAAATCAAGAAGACAATAGATTATTCAAGGTCGTTACATATGGAAAAGAAAAACCTAGTATGGTTACGATATTTAAAAATTGGTAGCATTATTCCTATGATCTATTGTTTCCTGGTTTTTTCGAACTAAACTCAAAAGTGTCAATAATAGGAAGAGTGCCAATGATTGGGTAGTTTCCCCTATATTGAAAATAAACTTGCCGGCGGGCGAATTTAGCACGATCTGGCTGAAGAGCAAACAATGCTAGTCATGAAATTATACTATGAGGATAATAATAATAATAAATAATAAATATTTCCGACACTCACACCAATTAGCCTAGCCCCAAAGTAAGCACTGTAAGGCTTGTGTTATGGGATGCTAGGGTAACGGATAGAATACATATACTGTACATATATAAGTATATTTATATAGAAATACATATTAAACATCCATGACTGGAGTACAAATGCTCGTATTCATCACACAAACATCTGCCCCCACCGGGATTCGAACCCGGGACCTCTCGAGTCGGCGACACCATGAAACCCGGCGTACAAACCACTCGACCACGGAGGTCGTCAAAGGAAAGGTTAGGATGCGGCAGTACTATACGGGCCGGGTTATTGAAGCGCATAACAGAGCTATCTATTATCATTATATTTTTTAATTTTTTAAGCATGTAACTGCTCGATGTTTAAATCTAAAGAAAATATAGGGCCGAGGTAGCATATTGGTCAGTGCATTCGCCCGGATAGCGTAGGATGCGGGTTCGAGTCCCGTCTACCGTCCATCAGGTCCGTGTGGATTTTTTTTCTAGTAATTTTTTTTTTATTTTTTTTTAAATATCAATTGTCAGTTACTAAAATTTGTACAGAGACGCAAAGGAATAAAGTTGAGCTTTCTTTATCTAATTGGATGTTTATTCAACCTTTCGAGCCGTCCATTTTTTTATCGGATGCTGGGAAGCTTATCTCCGCACACAGCTCAATAATACCCGCCGGTATACTGTGCACAACCTTAATAGTTTGATATTTGCAGCAGACAAAAATGCTTGTTTAAACTTTCCTGTCACCTCAACAGGTGTTTTCTGTGTCTTTATGAATCATTTGACATTGCAACGTTATGAATGTCAATGCTATGTGTTAAATAATAATGTCAAGTGAAGTTTTTTGCAAGAATTCTTATTTTTTTTATATCTTTGAGTAATATATAAAAATGATTACGATGAATGACATTTAATATTGTGATGACTTTTGAATTTATATTATTGTATTTGTTTTTTTTTTATCTAGTATATTAATAAATATCTGATGGATAAGAACTTAAATAAATGATAAGAAGTTTAATTAAGATTAATGACAATTATTATTATGATGACATTTTATTTTGAATTTTATTTGTTTTTTTATGTAGTATAATTTAAAGTACCGTTATTAATTCTATATTTGTACGCCTGATGGCTGGTCGTAGTTAGACTGTATATTTAAGCATAATAACCATGTATTACCTATGTACCACAAATAAACAAATAATTGATTTTTTTTTTCAATATGAAATACGGGACGGAGTTCCCTTTTTGTATGTTTAAATTTTAAGACCTTTACTTTTAAGTTAGATTAAAGTTGATGCTGATAGTTTTTATATGATAATAATAAGACAACACCTGCCTGACCTAATGTAAACATTAAAAATTTGAGTAACTAATTTGAGTGCGGCCTGTAAACACTGAAAATGAAAAATATATTTATTGGAACTAATAAAAGTTACATGTATAATATATTATAGGTGTGTTAATAGCTATATTAGTAAACACTGAAAATGAAAAATATATTTATGGGAACTAATAAAAATTACATCTTTATATATATAATTCTTCTGTGAGTGTGTATGTCACTGAACTTCTCTTAAACGACTGGACCGATTTTGATGAAATTTTTTGTGTGTGTTCAAGGGGATCTGAGAATGGTTTAGATTCACAATTTTGTCCGCTGGACAACCCCTATTTTTTTAGGGCGGTACGAAGTTCGCTGGGTCAGCTAGTATACACATATAATATATTATAGGTTCATTAATTTTGAACTTTGACGTTGGGTTTGAACTGTTCCAATCATTCCAACAGGTTTTCTATATTAAATAAATCATGATTGTATTGACGTTGTAACAACATAATGATCTGTAAATGTTGTTACATTATGCTTTTAATGTTGTGGAGTTTTTTCGCTCGTTTTTCTTCGCAGCTAAAAGATATGTCCAATAACGAGTGGTAGGGAAAAAAAATGTTTGGACGTTTCAAAAGTGTTGTACTATACATCCAATTTGAATAAAGATATATTGATTGATTTCAATAGCTATATAAGTTTGTAGAAATGTGTTACAGCCATTAGCGCCCACGTCCAAATACACTGAGACTAGGCCTCAATTAACATAATCATACCAGTACCTGTACCCTTAGCATGAACCAATATCGAATTCGTATCGTTTACGAATCCAAAATGTCATTTTCAAATATGTACTGATTTTTAGTTCTAGTTACGTAGGTACTTTGTGGCGCTGCTGTTCAAGTTTCCATACAAAATTTGACATTGGCATTTCGGACTCGCAAACGATTCGAATTCGATATTGGTTGGTGCTAGAGGTACTGTCCTAATATAGTAGGAGAGCAAGTGAACCCTCCAAGTAACGGTGTGTTTGTAAGTCTAGAAATTATTATGGTGATGAGTCACACGTTATTTTTGAAGTGAAAACTTCTTTAGCGGCGTTGTACACTTTTTTGTATGGGTAAAAAATGTTAAACTCGCGTCAGGTTAAACACGTGGGCTGATCGCATCATGGCACACAATAAAATTGGAAAGGTTGTTGACTTTCAATATATCGGACGAAACATAGTAATATTTTATTTTACTGTATTATAATAATAAGTCTCTATGTAGGACGTCCACGTGGCAGCTTTATTGCGTAGAAAAAGCATTTTTTTTACAATAGATGTCGCTAGGTGCGCTTAAATGTGATTCATGTAAGTTGATTTCTTTACAATAGATGTCGCTAAGAGCGCTTAAACGTGATTCATGTAAGTTGATTTATCTGAGAGATAAACTTTTTAATGTAATATAAATTTTCATGTTTGTGTACGATAGCGCAATAAATAAATATTGTATTTTACGACATACATGATAGTACTTTTATACTGATAACTAAAGCAATTCGTGCAAAATTATTTCCTAACCATTCCAAAATATCAAAAATGCACAACGTTAATATTCAAGTTTTCACTTCTGCCGGCACTCCCGGGGGCTAATCGCCTAACGGAAATGCTTTGGGAAACGCTAACGCTTACGATTTTATATTGTTATTTCTAGCCGCCTGAGGTTTTCGAATACCTCACGCTCATTTTTTTTAATATTGTTATTGTTATTACCAATGCAAAAGAAAAAGAAAGAGCGCGAGGCATTTGAATACCTCAGGCGGCTAGAAATAACAAAATAAAATCGTAAGCGTTAGCGTTTTCCAAAGCATTTCCGTTAGGCGATTGGCCCCCCGGAGTGCAACCCGTCGTTTTTTTTTATTTCTGGTCTTTGGTATAAATACCAAGTTTGAATTTAATCGAAATGCGCGTTAAAATTAATCCATATAAAAACTTCGACACCCGCTCAATCCTCTTCTAGGGGGTAGTTTAGTAAAGCTAAAAATGACAAACTTTATAATTTATTTAGATAAGTATTCGGTTCAAGTCAATTAAGAAAAGGTATAAGAATTTTTATGCAAACTTTCAACCTCTATTTTCACCCCTTCTGGGGTTAATTTTGAAAAATCTTTTCGTAGTGCACCCCAAATCTATATAAGGAAACTACATGCCAAATTTGGAGTCTCTAGACCCAGTAGTTTGGGCTGTGCGTTGATATGTCAGTCAGTTTCTTCTTTTATATATTTAGACTAGCGGCTCGCCCTCGCTTCGCTTCGGTGTAGAGCTGAAGTGTAGACTACAATTTTTGTTCTCAGGCTTGTATTATACACAATGACATTCATCTATGATTCTTCTTATACCTGCATGCAAAGTCTCAGCCCGATCGGTTTAAAATTGACAAAGTTTCATACAAAATTGCATTCCCTATTTTATCCCCCTTGGGGGTAGAATTGATCAAAATCCTTTCTTAGCGGATGCTTACGTCATAACATCTACCTGCATGCCAAATTTCAGCCCGATCCGTCCAGTGGTTTGGGCTGTGCGTTGATAGATCATTATGTCAGTCAGTCACCTTTGAGTTTTATATTTAAAGATATACAGAAGAGTTTTATAATTTTTCCAGCTCATGTGCAGCCAACTCAGCCTCGTATACCCTCGTCGGAGAATCCTGCAACATGAAGAATAGAAGCAAATACATGCTTCTGATGACTTGCCTGCTTCTGCTGTCACCAGCTGCTGCTGGAGGTTAGTTACAAGTATACAAATAAGTAAGAGGAGCTCGATAGCTCAGGTGGTTAGTGCATTCGGCGTGCGATCGTTAAAGCTAAGGAACTGTCGCAGTGGTCGATCATTGGATGGGTTACCAAAAACTTATTATCTCTTGTTTCGGAAGGTGCGTAACAGTTGGTTCCGGCTGCATCTGCAGTCGTTAGTACACACAAATCTGCACTGAGCCACCGTGGTGGGTCACGGCCCAGAGGGAGACTATTTCATCCATAGGGAAGGCCCCTACCGTGGGGGCATTAATAGGTTGATGATGATGAATAATTTTTGAAACCCACCCGACTCTACACCTGATATTAAGTGTTAATGGAGCCCATTCGTGAAGTTAGCCAAAATGGAGGAAAAGTGTGCTGATCCAACCATCTTCACGTTGCTGATCAGAGCCCAATCTTCTAACCTATCTAATCAGTTTTTGTAAAATCGGTTTAGGCGTTCCGCAATGAAGCATTTTTGGACCGCCCCTATTTTTAGCTTACATAAATGCGATTCCCTCTATCACCTCGGCTGCTTCTGCAGTCTGAATACGCGAGTTAAATACAGGTGGTGGATTATGGCCCGTTCAATGACATTTTATTCAAAGGGGAAGCTTGTAATCCAACAGTGGAAACATCAATAGGCTAAAGATAATGATTTAATTTAAAGAAAATATAACTAGGAAAAATTCCACGCGGACCAGGCAGCAGACGGGACTCGAACCCGCTCCCTTCGCAATCCGGGCGAATGCACTGACCAATAATGCTACCGCGGCCCGAAATTCTTCTAGCCATTCTTAAGCTGCAAGGCAGCGCCATCTTTTCGCATTATAGGTAACCCACAATGTGAAATGAATACTTTTACAAGTATTAAACATTTGAAAGAAGAAATAGCAATTATATATAATATATATAGTGGGTTTGAGTCCCGTCTGCTGCCTGGTCGTGGAATTTTTTCTAGTTATATTTTCTTTAGATTTAAACATCAAGCCGTTACATGCTTTAAAATAATGAAAATTTTGATTTAATTTTTCAAATTCCCAAATTCAAAACCCATATTCTTTACTTTCAGTGGTAACCTATCCAATACTGAAGCTCAAATTCGAATCAGCAATGTGGTTCGGCGTAATGTTCACTCCGTGGCGATTGCTGATCATAGTCCTGGCGCTCCCGTCCGGCATCGGAGCCCTGGCCATATGCTTCTTCCACGAGTCCCCGATATTTCTTGCCAACAGTGGGAGAGAGGAAGAGGCCTTGGATGTACTCAGATCAATATATGCCATAAATCATAGAAAATCCAAGGAAGAATATGAGGTATGCATCTCCTGCTTCTAATAAAGTTCTTACCAGCTAAGTAAAACTATTTGATGATTTTTCAAAAAAAAAATATGTCATAATGCGGAAACGAGGCACATTGTTGCTCTGAAGGGTGCGAACCAGCTCTTACTCCATTCTGCAAACTATAGGGGGTCAATATGATTTCCATATTATAGATTATTGTATCCGAAAGTGTATAACGGGCACAAACTTATTAATTAGGTTATTAAATGCCCATGTCGATACTAGCATTAGATAATGTAGTTCTTCAGTAACTTATCATAATATGTATGCTGGTTTGAATTAAATTATTATTATTATGTAGGTATTATTAACCAACTAACAATAATATCGTTGATTACATAAAGTTTTCTGTGTCACTATTACCTAACTCGTCTTCTCTTTATCCTGAAATAGTTATAAGAACTGAACAGTTATCAATCATTACTTTGATTTGTTTCTATTAACTGCATATTTCTGTATTTTCACACATCTTATATATAAAATACTCGTGTCACAATCTTAGTTATCATACTGCTCCGAAACGGCCTGGCCGATTTTTCTGAAATTTTATAATGCATATTCCGTGGGTCTGAGAATTGGCTACTATCTATTTTTCATATCCTTAAGTGATAATGTTTGTCCACCTGTAACGTAGTGTTCTGAAACCTACATTGCACCTTCGCGCCAAAATTCAAGTTATTGGGTACTGTAACGTAGTGTTCTCATATGGGTTAGGAGACATCTTTTTCCACCTGCCCCTATTTTTATGGCGGTACGAAGTTCGCTGGGCTGACCCAGGGAAGTTCTAGTTTGCTTGCCTGGAAAGATCCATCAATCCATCCATGAAATATTACGTGAAGATCCAAAAAGTTAAGAATTATGTTACTAACTAAGCACAAATAACTGTTTAAGTATTGTATCATATCATTTTTATTTTGTACATAAAGGTCAAAACCTTGAAGGTGAAGGATCAGTGTCTGAAGAAGCAGTCCTTAGTGAGAGCTATTTACGAGCAGAGTGCACCATTATTCAGACCACCGCTGCTTTGGAGAACCTTGCAGCTGTTCTACATAGTCGCTGTCGTGTACATCACGTGAGAACAGGTTTTATTTTCACTGAGTTAGGATTTGAACCCTGTAAACAAACATTTATTTGAAATTATTTCTTAGTGAGAATCGGCAGATATTTGCTGGGCGGAAATTTACTCTTAAATTAGTTTTTGTCTTTCATTAAGAACATTCCGCTCAGCTTACTCTTTTTCAGTGGAAGAACCAACGATATTAAATACCCTAGATACACCAAAATTCCAACGCGCTCAAAATGTGTCCCAATCAAGAAGTGCTTGAACTCCACTCAAGCACTTCTTGGTTCACAGTCACGCGCGGACCGTTACAAAGTCAAGATGCCACAGAGCTCCGCGAAAAATGCGAAAATAATACTTAAGAGTACGAAAAGTGTCGTTTTCTCGACAGGTATCTAGTCAATGTTTGTTAATTTAACGCATTTGAAGTAAATTTTGATCTAATACTTACTATAAACTGATTTAATATAAAATATTTGTGATATTCAAATGCATGGTCGGTTATACGTCACCATATAGCCGTCTCTTTTTCTCGCGGTCCGTGCTTGCTATATTACTAACAGCGCGTTCAGAATTGCGCGTAGAGTCAAGGAACTAAGGTCTAAATTCTTCCGCATATAGCAATAAGTCGTAAAATTTTACGAGCTTGCATTTTGAACTGTCAGAAGTCCTTGACGCATGCGTTTTATTTAAGACCTTATACAGTATGTATTAAAGGTTACTTTCAATATTTAAATAATGCCTTATGTCGATTTTGACTACGCGATCATCTTACAGAGCTCCGTGGATCGTTTAATGTACCCTTTGGACATGTTTCGGGCACGATTTTGTTCGTGTATCTTTGGGAAGAACTATTTGAATTACAACTTGACTAGTTAAACAAAGTCCTTTTTTATATTTTAAGGGTGTCAACAAGCATTTGGCTCTCCTGATGGTTATCGGCTTCCATAGCTTATAGACGCTTGCGATTTGCGACACCAAGAATATCACTTACTCTTGGAGCCTGGAATCTTACTCACTGACACCACCAAAAGGTAGTATTTTTTTACTGTGGTGTTCTGTTAGGTTACTTCCCCAAACGGGCGCTCCAATCCGCTGTACCTTATCTCACTTGTCTGTAATAGGTCCACAAAACATTATAAAGCAAAGTTGGCACTAAACCTGTTAATTTCCCAACTATTGAGTAAGAGGCTTTTGCTATAAACAATCAGCCAGTAATGAGAACAAGTAAAAGTCCACCATATGGGACTATGGGCAGTCGTGAAGATAAGCCTTATTCCTCATTATCATCGGTAAATGGCATTTGTGTTTCTTAGATCTTTCAACTTTCTCAATACATGATCGTTCTGTTTGATTATAGAAACAATTCATTCCTGGTGTGGTTAGCACACGTGATGAACCTCGTGAGATTGGCGATGGAAAGGTCCGCAACAGGAAACATCTGTGAATTGATCTCGCATGATAAGATTCACAACGCTAACCATCCTCAAAACTCTACTGCAGTAAGTATACAGTAGTATAGTAGTATAGTATAGTATATGCTCCTATACAGGTGGGTAAAAAGTCTCGGTGGCATAGCGGGCATTCGACTCAAAAATGAAAGACGATGATATGATTCGAGATGTCCAACTCAGGATGGAAATCTCGAATCATGTCAGCGTTGGTATCAGTACCAACCTTCATTGCTATTCTGTAAATTCAAACTCACGAAAAGTGAACTCAAAGTGAGTTTGAATTTACAGAATAGCAATGAAGGTTGGTACTGATACCAACGAATCATGCTGTGATTAGAACACAAATTTTCAATAACATTCATATACTTCCACTGGCGGATTCCGCGATGAAAAGTTCCGCGTTTGATTCTTACAGAATAGCACTGCTGGTTGATTTTTTCTAGTTAAATGTTTCTGTCGGTATAAAATTTTGCAGTTTATTGGATAAATTATTAAATTTTGTAACTACTTATAAATAATCTAAGCAGGTATTCCGTGAACAGGTGCTCGGGAAACTAATTTTATTGGACGATTCTTTGGACGAATTGTCTATCTCAGAGAAAACTTGGTCCAAATAACACCATTTTGTTGGGTTGTGTTCCTGCAGTAAACTTTACAGGAGCTTCATTATATTATATCTGCCCTAAAAAACTATCATTATTAGATTTATGTCTTAAATGCCCCATTTTGGCAATTCTCCGGATCATCAAGAGAAAAACTAAGGAATCAACTATCACAGTTAATCACTTTCATTCTTTTTCTCTTTCACAGCCCCGCGTCTGCGTCGGAAACATAGAAGATAACGTGGTGCTTGCTTTGGTCATCTCCCAGACCATCTTCGCGATCTTGAACTTCGCTCTCTCGTACCTGTCGCACAGACGGAAAGCCGTGCTAACTTCGATCTTGTGTCTATCGGCATTGAGCGGGAGTTTGCTTAACCTCACCCCTGAGGCCATATCGAGCGTGTTCTTCTTCATGATATTCACGTGCACTTGCCTCTGTATGGGCATATTGGCTTCGTTCTTCGTGGATCTTTACCCACCGTCCTACAGGTGAGATTCTACAAAAACGGCAGGAAAAATATGGGCTCAGAACTACGTATGGGCTACAAGTTTATAACTACTAAAATCATATCCCCAGTTTAACCTTATGATTAAAGCAGGATTATTCTTGGGAATATTCAAAACCCATTTGGTATTGGGTTAACATTAAAAAGACGTCTTACAGAATATAGAAGCCAAATTACATATTTTTACATTAGTTTTGTGTTTCGGCAGTGAAGATTCTAGAACTCCACAGGATATGGTCAAGTTTGGCAACGCACAAGTAATATTCTACTATCGTAAGCGTCACAGGCTTTAGATCCGCTTAATCACAAATATTAAAATCAAATATTATATTTCCAGAGGCATGGTAGCGTGCCTTAGCATCATGGTGGGTCGCGGCAGCAGCTTCGTCGGCATCAATATAGTTGGCAACCTGCTGTTCAACCACTGCCAACTCATGTTCTACATGTGGAGTTTACTAGTGCTGAGTAAGTATGAAATAAGGTGTAAAATCACAAAGACCATATCTCTCATCTTCATAATTCCTTTTATTTTGGTTTTATCAACCACTGTGAGTTGGCCCATAATGGGTGCAAATTGTAAGGATAGAGAGTCAGGAATCAGAATAAGGTGTTTATCTTAGCTCGAACCAATAAAGAAATGGTGCCGCTAATACCTTTTTGAAGATTGTGATCAGCGTCAGGGTTGCATCTGGAGTGGACGATCTGCTTTCACCGGTTTCTGTCCAACCTGGCTCTCTTACCAATTTATAAGATTCGGATGAGGACGAATCTTTAAATTAGTCAGTCCATCTATCTATGGCAAGTGCAGAAGGAGCACAGGAATTTGCAGCTAATAATGAAGGGGCAAAGTGAAGGACGGAAACCATCATGCAGAAACGTATCATCTTCAAGCTCAATCACAAAGGCATACTGGGTCCATGGACAGACTTTTGTTACAAGAAGATGTGCTGTATTGGAAACGGGAGTTACTGAATAGTAAGGACCGGACTCTGCAAATGGTGGTCTCAAAGTGTAAAGTGGCACCGGTATTAAGACATGTGCACGACGGTACATCTGATGGGCACCCTATAGTGGCCACGCGACACGCTATGATGGCCGTTTTAACACATTGCAAAAGTGACAAGAAAAGTCAATCTATTATCGAAAAAAAATATTATAATCAAATGCGAATCACATCCGGGTATTAAACTTTTTGATTTTGTAACCAATATTGCAAGAAATTGCTGATTAGAAATCTATATATATATATAAAACTCAAAGGTGACTGACTGACATAGTGATCTATCAACGCACAGCCCAAACCACTGGACGGATCGGGCTGAAATTTGGCACACAGTTATGTAGTATTATGACGTAGGCATCCGCTAAGAAACAATTTTGATCAATTCCACCCCCAAGGGGATAAAATAGGGAATGAAAGTTTGTATGAAACATTGTCAATTTTAAACCGATCGGGCTGAGACTTTGAATGCAGGTTTAAGAAGAATCATAGATGAATGTCATTATGTATAATACAAGCCTGAGAACAAAAACTGTAATCTACACTTCAGCTCTACACCGAAGCGAAGCGAGGGCGGGCCGCTAGTATTGAATAAAACTAAAAGATAAACATTTACACATGCTCAGGGATATGTAGCGAACTTATTAATTACATATTTTTTTCATTTTAAATTTCGATAAATACAAATGCCGAGTTATGTGGCGAATAAGTACATTATAATTATATTACTGTTTATATGCTATCTCTCATGTCTTAATGATATATATAATAATATTTTTTCTTCGTTTATCAGGTAGATTATCAAAAAGTATTGGACACGTATTTTTTCTTTTGTCACATAATATAAACATTGCAGCGATATATTGATTTGAAAAGTCGCATGACGTCACGTTTTGGTACACTTTTAAGTGAAAATTCACTAAAAAGTGACGTCACGAGCCTCTACTCCTAAACTTTGACGCGCTATAACTTTGTCATTTTTTGGTTCATTGCCCAAAGAAAAAATACGTGTCCATTATTTTTTGATCATCTAACTGACGGACTAAATAGAATTTCGTTTACTGTACCCCGTCATCACCCCTATTATTATTATTTAAATATTTATTTATCATTTCAGGTAGTGCCGTGTTAGCGTGGTTTCTGCCGCCAGAAAAGGTGAAAATTAAACCGTCCACAGTTTAGATGTAATAGTTGAATGTAGATATATAAATAGATTAATATAATAATGTCTGTGATGTAGTTTTTTTAAGCTGTGAATTTGTCGCTGTGAAGGCAAAATAGAAAGGGACCTTTCTTTCGACATTCATTAAGAAAATAAGTATAAAATGTCTATTGAAGGTAAGATTTTATGTACGATAAATTAGAAATTAGACCAGTTATAAAAACTTAAATAAACAAATCTTTTTCTAGAAAAAAAATCTTTAGATTTAACATCTAGCAGTTAAATTATAGCTATTAACGGGATTGTTACCATGTACCTTGTTTTGATGAGTCTCCGATATTTCGGCACTGGTAAGTAACAAGTTACTCCGTGATCTTGGCGTTTGCAACAGTGCCGAAATATCGGAGACTTAAAAACAAGGTGCATGGTAACAATCCCGTTAATAGCTAAATTATTAGTGACCATGAACGTTAAAAAACAATAAATATAGCAGTTAAATGATTACATTAAAAATATATTAAATTAATAATTAATTAATATAAATTATCATTTGTTTTACTTTTTAATTACCTATCTCGTTAGTTCAATATTATTATTATTGGCATGGGTAATAAAACATTCCTTTTCAATTTGTATTATTTAAGTCCCATCCAAATAGGAATAGTTATTTATTATACAAGAGTGGAAAGTTCCTTTTTAACCGCGTGCTCGATTTGGATGACCGAGCAAGCGAAGGATTCTAAAGTTGAATCACGAGCGCAGCAAGTGATTCTAAATTAGAATCCTGAGCGTCAGCGAGGGAAACAAACGAGCACAAGGTGAAAAATCTTTCCACTCGAGTGCAATACGTAACTTTTCATCCCACCTCAGCGAGGAAATGACAAAATGAAAAAGAAAACAATTTATAATGACAAAATATTTAAGCAATAAAACGTGAAAAACTAGAATGGCGCGAAGCACGCAAATAAAACAAAGAAACCAAGAAGGTTCCAAATTTAAATTTTTTCACAATTTAAAAAGTTCTAATCATAAATTTGGCACCATAGAGGTTACATTAAATAGGTTTAATGACGTTTTGAATTTACAATTATATTGAGTACTCATTATATGTGATGTTCTAAATTCAAATCTACTTTGCCGCTCAAGCGAATAAAATAGAATTTTCCAGCCAGATTTCGAAGCGCAAAATTACACTTTCCGAGGTGGTGGGATGAAAAATAAATTGAAATCCGTAGTGATTACAGACTACCAGACTAATGGTAATTTCTGGTTGCTTGGAAGTTAAATGTTATCAAATCGAGCTATGATTAAAAACATTATCATCGTTCGTGATCTTCTGTCGGTCGACAGGTTCGGGCTCGAAGCTTGGCTTCCTTCCCCGGGCTGCATCTCGCGGGGGTGCGCCCCCGCGGGGTTGGGCGCCGCTGGTTAGCGGCCGTCTGGTGACGTTTTCTTTCTGGTTCTGCTCTCGCCAGGAGCTTGCGACGCGGCCCTCAGCGCGGTCTGCCGAGCCGGGTGAGACCCCCTGGGGGGAGGCCCAGATAGCGCCAGCGAGCAGGCCGCGATTTAGGCAAGTGGGGAGCAGAATTGTTGTTGGGGTTGGGGGTGTGAGGGAGGCCGGATTTGGGTAGGGTAGGTGGTGGGAGACGGCGAGAGCAGGCTGCGAGGTGGTGGTCGCGGTGCTGTTCTTGGTTCTCGCCTTCTGGAGTCTGAGGACAAACAGAATTAAAAATACGGCAAATTTGGTAAAAGGTGTCTGGATCTTCCTGGATTCCGATGGGCTCCTGTGGGCTATTCTGAGTTGGTTGGGTTGGCGGCCCCCTGGAGTAGCCAGGTCAGGGCACTCAGAATAGCCTGAGTGGGATTTGCTCCCCTGCTGATATCCTCTAGCAGGCGGTAAAGGATGGATAGTACCGCCTGCATTGGAAGCTGGGGGAGAGATGTGGGTTGGGGGTAGAATTGGGGGTGCACCCTGGGGGGCGGGATAGTGGACACTTCCTGGGGTGGCCTCTGGTACATTGGAGGTGGAGGGGGGTGGAATGCCGGTCTTGGGGCCGGCCTGGTTTGGCGGACCACTTGGGGTCGAAAAGACTGGAGCTGGGGTTGGGGGCCTCTGGGCCGTGGTGTCGGAAGCTGGGAAGAATCCGACGCTGTCGGAGGGGGAGGTCCCATCCTTTGGGTGGCCGCCCTCACTAGGCGGAATGAAGCAACTGGGGCGGAGGTGGACAGCGGGCCTCCCCCTGGGGGAAAACCCGGCGGAACATCGGGGGCAGCGAGTGGGAGGGTGGTCGGGGCAGGGGCAACGTGCGCTTCTTCTGCCGCTTGTGGCCTCCTCCTTCTTCTTCGTCGTCTGTTTTTATTGGAGACGGGTGCTCCGGGGGGGGTGGGCGGGTTGGCAGGGGCGGCCAAGGTTGGTCCTACTTGGGTGTCCAACAAGTTGACTGGTGGGGGCTGCTGCGGGACGCTGGCTAACGTCTGGCGACGCTGTTGCGGCACTCCTCCTGGGATTGGGGGTTGGATTCTTTGATTTAGACGGCGCGCAGTTTGTATGAAGACTTTGCACCGTCTGTCGTTGGCGGCATGGCTCTTGCCGCAGTTGGCGCAAGTTGGTGGGATGGCATCAGAGCGTGGGCAGTCGAAGGCGGAGTGGTCCCCTGCACATCTCACGCATTTCTTGGGACGGTGACAATTGAGGGAGCTGTGGCCGAAGGCTTGGCAACGGTGGCATTGGGCTGGTCCGGCTCTTGGCTTCCAGCCCTCGATAGTAACCCCTGGCATTCCCAGGAGTTCGTCCGTGGCGTAGAGGCGCGCGAGCTCGTCCCTTGGAAGGTGATCGAGTTGGACATGGAATATACATCCCGGGCGGCCTCTCTTCCCTCGGATGTTTCTTACAAAAGTCACTGGAAAGCCCCTTTCTTCCAGTGCCTCCGTGATGGCCAGGGGGTTGGTGTCCGCCGGGATGCCTCGGATGGCTACCTTGGTGGGAAGGTCTTCTTGGGGGGCGTAGCAATACCACACTATTTCTGTATTATCTGCTGAGGCTTCCACCAAATACCTCTGTGTGGCCCTAAACTCCTCCTCGCTTTTTGGCGAGAAGCGTACGCCCGTGTTGAAGGGGCGCGCGTTTGGGGTGTGCCCGAGGATGTCTCTGATCTTCTTCAGGTGGAGCGGCCAGTTCGGCAGTCTCTCCACTATAATAGGCGGGTACCCTCTTACGGTGGGTCTTGCGGTGGCTGGTGGGGTGTGGGGAGAGAGAGGAGGCGTCGCACGGGTCGTTGCGGCCTGGGCGTAAGACCTCGCGTGCGCGCCATCACTCTCCTCGAGCGGCTGCACCTGACAGTATATGGTACTGGCCGTGTTGTCGAATTGGGGTGGGAGAGGGCTGCTGGGCCCTTCCATCCCACCGTCGGATTCTTGCTCCGATTCCGATTCGGACTCGGAGTCTGCAGATGACGAAGAAGAGTAGGAGGCTGACCGCCTCTGTGGAGGCGGGACATACGTCCCGCTGGTACTGGGAGCGGGCGCGGCAGCCCGCTGTGGTGGCGATGGGCCGTGCTTGGGGCGTTTTTCATTGCCTCCAGCGGCCTCGTCGTCGTCAAGTTGGCGTCTTCTTGGGTCTCGAGGGTGAGCGGTGGCCGGGGCAAGACAGGGGCGGCGCTGCTCATCAGCACCTTCCATGTTGGCCGGGGCTGCGCTCGGCTTTGGAGTGCTCGCCTTCATTCTGAGGGACTGGCGAGCAGGGGGTGGCACGGTCTGCACCGATCGGGGGGCGGGACGTGGACGTGGGTCCGGAGGCTTCCTTTGCGGAAGCGGTTTCGGTGGCATTTTTATAAAAAATGACACAAAAGTCCGGTGGGTAGAAGGGAAAAAATTGAAGTGGGTAGAAGTGAAAAATTTATGGGGGACAAGGACAGAGAATAAAAAAAGAAAGAGGTGGGAGGGTAGATTTGAAAAAAAGTGGAATGGAGGGTGGGAACGAAAACACTAAGGGAAACACTTGTAGTTTTTAAAACAATAAAAACACAAGTGATCGACGAACACGTAACAAAGACACTACACAACACTTAGGCGTCAATATCGCAACACAGAAAACACACTTTGTTAGGTGGTCGTAGGGCGACCTCACGCGCGAACGCGGAGGAGGGTATCCTCAGTTTTCACTCGGCACTGTTGGGCAGGCGGGCTCAACGACGAGCGGAGTCACACGACCTACCACTAACGCGACACGAGGAGAACTGCGAAAAACACATTATCATCGTGTGATGGGTTTGGATTAATAGGGTTATTAATGTCCCCACTGAATGCAGCCTTCCCTATCGATGGTATAAGAAGACTGGGCTGTGACCCACCACGCGGGCACATTGCGGATTTGTGGGTGCTAACGACTGCAGATGCGGCCGGGACCAACGGCTCACGCTTCGTGCCTTACGAAGCAAGGGGAAGCAAGATGTACATAATAAGTAGAGATGGGCCGAGTAGCCACCGACTAGTCGGGAAAGACGACTATTCGGCATCGTTTATAGTCGTCGATTAGTCGGCGATTATTCGGCAAAACATGCCAATTATATTCGGCACATTACATTGAAATAAAACTCAAAACTTATGCTTGTTTTGAATATTTGAACAGTACCTAGAGTATGTCTTTAAAGTCAGCTACAGTCTTAATATCTACTATATAAAAATAAGTCGGGTTTTCCTTCCTGACGCTATAACTCCAGAACGCACGAACCGATTTCCACGGTTTTGCATTCGTTGGAAAGGTCTCGGGCTCCGTGAGGTTTATAGCAAAGAAAATTCAGGAAAAAATAAAAAAAAAAACTTCTTTTAATCACCAAACGAAATGTTACATAAAACGAAGCCATCTGGTGGCGAAACGGAGTTCGCCGGGTTTGCTAGTTATATATAAAAAAAGGTAACATAATCAGAAAAAAAAAATTCTTAGAGGCAAATTGTGATGTTCAAATGTGAATATCCCGGCTTGAGGGGACTCGTGTCGTGCGTGAGCGTGCCAAGTAGTGACGAAATATTCTGAACACCTTCCTAAGATAGGTATTAGAATGATTTACATTGCTGAATAGTAGGCCGACTAGGCGGCAATTCGTAAACCGATTAGTCGACTAGTC